TGTTCAAAACACTGTATTTGTTATTATAGACAACATTGCATTAAATCAGTGTATTAATTGACAAAATAGATAACAATTTGTGTTATAAATAAATAATTAGTAATTCAAAGTAATTGATAAGTTGTGAATCATTGGCTAATATTGAAATATTTATTTTAATTTAAATATTTCCAGACTTGTATTGCAATTCTTGTGAAAAATTATATACTCTGTCACAGAATTTATTATATTTATACAAGTACAAATATTATAATCTATAAGTAAGCAGAAATTCCCAAACTTTTCGATGGGATATATGCAGTAAATCAGGCAATAATTTGTTAAAATATATTATTTACTACTTATTTATTGTCATATAAGTAATGTTTTATATATTTTATACACTCTCTTAAAATATATTAATAACTTAACGAAATCTATTCACAATGTATTCAGCTTCATATGATATAGATTTTTATTGTCTGCCAAAACTCATAACTTATATCTACAACACATATACACCTGATATTCAATAGAGATTTTGTTGTTTTTTGTTTTGCATTACATTATTCTCTCGTTTACTATTCAAATGGCAATAATATAATAGAAAATATTTAACGAATCGTATTATGAGTCCATTGACTATGAAATTGAAATTTGAACAAAAATTATGGCCATTCACTACACAGTTATAGAAATACATTGCATTAAACACCTGATTCCTAGTATACAACGAGAGAGAGAGAGAGAGACAGAGAGAGAGAGAGAGAGAGAGAGAGAGAGAGAGACAAAAAAGTATTCAGTTTTTGATTTGCTATAATCATAAGTAAAAACACTTATGATTTATGCGCATAACTATAGACACTATAAATACAGACACAAAACTATTTGAATTATTTATGACATTCAATTGCAATATATTTAGATACAGTATTAGTTATAGTGCATATAACATACGTTGCATATAATATACGAAATGAGTTGTACGTCTAAATAGGATTAAAATTTTTCAATTTCCAAATACATAGCATATAATTGCCGTACAACTGAACACAATAGCAAATGATGTCTGAAAAAATGCATTCACTGTAAGTATTAATCAATTTTACAGATACTATCGCTCCCACTGTCTGTACAGTACCTGTCATTCGCATAGCTATTAAAGTACTGGAAAACAACAACTTTTAAGACATTATTTAAATTCTTCAATAAATTAAATCCGATTCTCTCTCACAGAATAACTCACATATAATTTATATCAAAAGTCCATAGAATAAACATTTGGTTATTAAGATTGACTCTCAAATTATTACATTATCTATAATTTGATTGAAGCCGTGATTGTATTAAATATATACAGTGTATACACTAGCAAACAGGACAGGCGGGTCCAGTTCCCTAAAATCAAATGGTTAGGTGTATAGCTATGCGCTAATCATAGAGTAATTCCTTACAGCGAGAGTGCCTTATATTGCATTGTATTATACAGTCATATATGAGTTTATAATACATTATAAATCTCTGGCGATTGTGTTATTAAACCGACAAAAAATATTATATGAATTTCTAAATCAAAAAAGAAATTATGACTCTCTCTCTCTCTCTCTCTCTCTCTCTCTCTCTCTCATTGTATTGAGTTAATGAACGCCAGGCGGGTCCAGTTCCCTAAAATCAAATGGTTAGGTGTATAGCTATGCGCTAATCAAAGGAAATCAATTTAATTATGAAATGCGAGAAAATTATAGACTTTGAGATAAAAATTATGAGATATCGTGAAAACGTAACGACTTTTACCTCTCTCTCTCTCTCTCTCTCTCTCTCTCTCTCCAAGTAATTATGTGTTTCCATGTGTGTTAGGTATTCCCTACCCATCCACTGGACATACAATCACACGGGTAGGACAGGGAATAGCAGTTAATGAGAATTAATAAAAAATATAAGCGCTTGAAGTGTACGGACAGACAGATCACAACAACAGCAATCATGAGTGCAGGTGTCGGACAGGCATTAAGTTTGACGCCTTTTTTGAATACCAGTGCCCTATCCACTAATGATTCGTTTATGTTAATAGTGTTGCCGTATAATAGAAAACAACATTTCCTGTCACTATCCGTACGAGTAATACATCTTATTGTAGTCAATACAACAGTATATTAATACAAAGTTTATATAATAGGAGTAAAGAGAGAGAGTATGTCTGCAACTGTAGCCTGAGATGCCTGGCGTTCATTAACTCAATACAATGAGAGGGGAAAGTCATTAAATGCTATTCCCATTGATATGCTTATATGAATGTCTAAATCTTTAATTTCATATAACGTTCACTAATATATTAGACAAAAAGGCCGTTCCCTTAAACGTCAACTTTTGATATAATTATATCCATTATATAAGTTAAATGCAGACAATTTACTCCCGCATGTGATACCCCGGTGCTCTCACTGACTGGGATACCGGTGCGTTTAATGTAATCTCTTACATCAAGTGGTGGTTCAATGGATGGGGTACTAAATTCACTATATATTACAGGTGTATACATGTATTAGACATATAATGGTGTGCTTTATATGAAAGTTGTGGTGAATATCAAAGAACTCCTTTCAGATGTTTAGCTTTTATTTAGTGTAATACTCGTGAATATTAAGATAGCAATCACTAGATTATTGTAAGTGTTTGTAAAGTGTTATGAAAAATATGTTTGAAATACAATTTTGCATAATTTATATAACAGTAAATCATTTGATGTATTTAATGTCAAATTTTATTAATCACAAAAATCCTATTCTAGTAGGTTTTACCTAAACTAATTTAAATTAGTTATAAATAAAATATATTATTATCATAGACACTATTTTCACATGGTTTCAACACTTATTCAAAACGCGTTCACAAAACATATTTAATTAATTATAATGACATTAACTATTCATTAATAATGTGACATTTTTGAGATTATTATTAATGAGAATATCAAGTATTTCGTATAAATTATTTGCACCACTTTTATGAGCCCTCATGTGTCGATTTTAGAGGCAATTATAGAAATTTTCCACTTTTTATATCGTATACTCTAGTAGTTTACAGTAATAGCAAAATGTTAATTAAATTAAATCTAACGTAGAAAAGGGTTGGTGCTAATGCTTTCCCCTTACAATTAACAATTATAATAAATTTCCATTAAAAACAATTACCAGTACGTGATTTTCAAAAGTAGACATAATATCATATTAGTAAACAGTATATTATACTTTATAGTGCTATATTGTGTATATTTATTTGTGAGTATATTAAGTAAATGTGAACAAGGTCTTATGAAGTCTGGCGTAATGTCTAGTTATAAATATCTGCCCTTTTCATGAGTGTTTAAATTTGAAATTTCTGAATTAAAATTGATTTTTTATCTAATCTGCACGAAACGATAGTTTTTATAATTATTTTACTCATAATTATAATGAATATCTTTTTTACAGAGAGAGAGAGAGAGAGAGAGAGAGAGAGAGAGAGAGAGAGACTCAAAAAGTAGAGTTAATTATTTATCAAAGCCTGTAATCGGACTTTAAATTAATGGAAAAACTATTTTTTCTTATACATTTTATTTGAGATATTTTTATATATATTTTATTTGCAAAATATATTTATAATGAAGTAATCAAAGAGAGGAATCGTAAGAGTATTTTCCACAGAATTTGTTTGTGGAGTCAAATCAGAGCCCATTTGTGAACAGAAATTATTCGTACACTTGCTTTGAGGCAAAATTATTATATATTTTCTTATAACTTATATATTGAGTGTATTTCGAGTCATAAATCTTGAATCGAAAGCTTTAACCCATAGGGAATGGGAGCACAAGTAAAATAAATGGATAAATAAAAATAAAAAGTATTTCTTTCTAATTATATTTCTAGCACAAAAAATAACTTTCACATCAAATACAGATTCCCAGCCCTTCAGAGGCTCTTTCTCTCTCTCTCTCTCTCTCTAATATTAGAAGAATGTATAGAGAAATAAATCACACAATGTATTCATATCACGTCGAAATCAAAGCTTACAATTCATCTGCAAATCACTTTGAATTTGTTTATCATATGACAGGTCCTCTTAAACACACAACTCATATGTTTTAGTAAAAAATAGCACTCAATATACTCTTGTATACTATAAGTGCCACAGAATTGGTTTGATATTGTCAGTGAATATACAGGTACTGTATATATATTTGACATGAGAGAGAGAGAGAGAGGGAGGGAGGGAGAGAGAGAGAGAGATGTGGTCCCAAAAATGACAATTAGCTTAAGGATGATTGACGTGCACTCCCGCAACACAACACACTATAAACTAATATATAGTTATTTTTAAGGCTATTATTGAATAAAACGATCGATTGATTAGTTAGAGATTAGGAGCCATTTGTAGCCACTCTTGTAGTGGAATCACGTCTATGAGAGTCAACTGTTATCTAAATGTAGGGAAAGGCATCTCTAACTTCTCTAAATACATCATATCTCCTACTCTTATCGTAAATGTTATGAATATTTCTCTCTCTCTCTCTCTCTCTCTCTCTCTCTTTCTCTCATGTCAAATATATATACAGTACCTGTATATTCACTGACAATATCAAACCAATTAATTTCTAGCACAAAAAATAACTTTCACATCAAATACAGATTCCCAGCCCTTCAGAGGCTCTTTCTCTCTCTCTCTCTCTCTCTCTCTCTCTCTCTCTCTCTTGAAGAGAAAATTTTATTCCCTTAAAAGTACTAAAAGAATAGTAAAAAAATTAATACAAAAATTTTCGCACAAATATTACGCTCATCTGTTAAACAGTAAACTAAGCCTCAAATAAATCAATACTTGAAATAACTTGAGAAATATTTTTCAAAAAACAAGTTATTTCACAGAAAAATAATAACATTTGATAATAGCTATGAAAAATAATGACTCAATTAATAGGCGCACAAAAAACACGAAATCAAAGGGCGTATTGAGGAGAGAGGGGTCGACCCCACAAAAAAAACACTTACCAGACGTCCCGCGTAATTGTTATGGAGGTTCATCATCGCCCGGATGTCCTGATTTTTCTTACGGGCCGCCCGTTCCGGTGCGTCCACGAAAGTCTTGGCAAATTGCATGCCGTACCGGATGTTATCGGAACAGCCGCCCCATTTCCAGCCGTCCGGGTGTCCACTGCCCGCCCCACCCGCCCCTTGAGGCGACAGATCGCACGAGCATTCCGTGAGATTACCGGCCGAACAGGCCTGGGATATGGCGTGAACTACACCGGCGCTCGTTATGGCGTACACGAAGGCTGTCTCTCGGCTCCCTATGTGTGCGATAGAGTGGACAGACAGTTAGGGACAAGGGTTCAGAGTTTTGGTGCAATATTAAAAATACTGTTCAGTGTAATTTATATTAAAAAGTTTAATGATTACTATTTTCATTTATTGCTTATATAATTAAATGTGATTTAAATATAATTAAAAGCATTGAATGAATGTTCACTAAATAATCTGTGTGTCCGGGACAATTACCCTGGTAATGGAGAATTTTAAAGCTATCAATAAATTTTGATTCTTAAGTTTTATTTATTATATGACTGCGAAAGCTATCATTTATTGTATGAATGAATGTATAGTTTTTGTGGTAAAGAATTCAATTTAAAATAATTTTCGTATATTCTGTGGAATAGGAAATCAATTTAATTATGAAATGCGAGAAAATTATAGACTTTGAGATAAAAATTATGAGATATCGTGAAAACGTAACGACTTTTACGTCTCTCTCTCTCTCTCTCTCTCTCTCTCTCTCTCTCTCTCATGAATTTTAATATTCAAATTATACAACAATTCAATTGTAATATATTATACTGTACAGTATTTTCAATCTATTTTCAAATCATATGCAGTAATATATTTTAAATGTCCAAAATAGCAATCTGTTATCTTTTAAAATAATTCACTTTTTATGAATCAACAAAAAATAATTTTATTTTAAAATATATTAAATCTAATGTCTATTGAAAGTAAACCCTGTGAATAAACACTACTATATTAAAAATACAAAATTAATAAATGAGATGAACTACTTGTCCACAAACCTCGCTGTAATGTATGTCCAAACACCGACTTATCCCCTTCTGTGGTACAGTTCCACCTCTCGTTCTTGAACTGCTTCTGGCACTCATGTATAGCCCGTTTGGCTCCTTCACTGACCGCATACATGGCGTTCGGGTGACCCTCGCATACCTGTAACTGTTTGGCTACCAGTCCCGGCATTTTAGCGCAACTCGGCTGATCCGGGTGATGCTCCACTGTGTTGGAGTGTCCAGACCCTCCCAGTCCTCCTGACAGGCCTCCCAATGTGTTGTCCACTACTACTGACGAGGACGGGTATGCGGAGTAAGTGTTGGACACACTGTTGGAGATGCCGTTGGAAATAGCATTGGAGGCGCCGGCATTTGACGGCACCGCCTGACCGATGTGTCGCTCGATATCGGGACCGACGACACCGGGATGTGACTGAACTCCCGCCACCCCTCGCATCATGTGCTGCCGTAACGGGTCTTCCGATATATAATTATTGACATAATTTGTTGAATAGATATGATTCCTATGGGTTGGTGTGCGCGGGAGGTTCACGCCTACCATTCCTAGATGCCTGTCCACATAAAAAAATTAATATACATTTGTTAATTAAAATGTTTCAAAAACAAATCAGAAAATTAATTAAAAATATTATATAACTATAGCTTTGGTGATATATAATTGGTATATCTATAGTCTGTAATACTGTATGACTTTATTTACTGATATAATTAAACGAAAAACTATAATAACAGTTAATAACAGTTATCATACGTTATTATACGAGAAATTTTGGGCACAAAATAAATTTGTGCCAAAATGCGAGCCTCGAGTCCATACAAACTCGCAGACAATAAAAGTGTAAGAATTTTGTGTATAATATCAGTGTTTACTCTTATTGGAGGCGTTGGAGTGAAAAAAAATTGGACGAAATTTAATGAATACTATACAACACCAGAGGAATGGCTACAAAAATAGGTGTTTCGGCCGTGAAATTCATTGTCAGACCATTGGGTATACACCGAAAGATATGATATTATATACACTGTATTAGCGCACAGAATATACTGCATATACAGTACACGTCGAGTGGCTTTTAAAGCTAATCATTTTCACGGCGTTTGAGTTCACATTTTTTTGTGGCAAAAGTCGTGACACAAAATGTATGGAAAAAACTTGAGAGAGAAAACTATTTTTAAATATAAATTTAAGATAGGAATTCATAAAAAAATAATTTATATGAATTTTTATTGTGTCTAATTCGCAACTCTCTCTCTCTCTCTCTCTCTCTCATTTCACTTCAAATATTTATTTTCTTTCACTTCTCTAATCGATTTGAAGGTATGTTTGCAATGAATGTGAAGAATATATCTCTCTCTCTCTCTCTCTCTCTCTCTCTCTCCGATTTTCGATCACCAGAAGCACCAAAAAATAGCAAAAGTTGTGCTTATTTTTAGCCATAAAAACCAAATTTCACTCTTCGATAGGATATATCGCTATATATTCTTCACATTCATTGCAAACATACCTTCAAATCGATTAGAGAAGTGAAAGAAAATAAATATTTGAAGTGAAATGAGACTCAACTATATGTACACTAAACGTGTAGAAAAACTTTTTACATTATTCTCAAAGTCTGCCAACGTATCTCTCTCTCTCTCCCTCTCTCTCTCTCTCTCTCTCTCTCTCCTCAAACTTATAAACATTTAAAGGTTTTTCTCTCTTTTCTTGAGGATTTGTCTCAAAGTATTGGAAAAACTAAAACATTGGTAGGGATTGCATAGATAGACAACACTATACAAACATACCTTCAAATCGATTAGAGAAGTGAAAGAAAATAAATATTTGAAGTGAAATGAGACTCAACTATATGTACACTAAACGTGTAGAAAAACTTTTTACATTATTCTCAAAGTCTGCCAACGTCTCTCTCTCTCTCTCTCCTCAAACTTATAAACATTTAAAGGTTTTTCTCTCTTTTCTTGAGGATTTGTCTCAAAGTATTGGAAAAACTAAAACATTGGTAGGGATTGCATAGATAGACAACACTATCGACTGTGAGGTACGGGTGCTGTAAAAGCGCCGGAAGGCTAATAACTAATTCCGGACGGCCTTTGCCATAGAAAAGTGGAAAATATATATAAATAAAATGAAATAAAAAATAATAGCGAGTAATAAACGGACAGACAATTCGGTGGCGTTTTGTACGACAAAGACTTTTACTCATTAATTGCAATCATAAAACACAAATATATTTTTGCCCTGGTGTTTATTATGCTTTGTTTTGTGTGTCCAACGATTTTTTACACAAACATTTTTCTAATGGTTTTTCTTGTTTTATAACTAATATAGTGTTTATGGCAAACAAATTCACGCAACACTACAAACACTTGTATATCATATTCAGTGCTTTTCTCTTCATTCAAACGGTTGTTGTTTTTCAATGAAATTAATTTGAGAGTTATTTTTGTGAAGTGCTGTTCAGTAATGAGAGAGAGAGAGAGAGAGAGAGAGAGAGAGAGAGAGAGTCATCTCATAGTAATTGATGATATCTGGGGTCGTGTGTATCGATCGGGTAATACATTTCCAGTGATTCGGTCACGGATGCAGTCTCTCTCTCTCTCTCTCTCTCTCTCTCAGACTTTATAAGTAATAAGAAATAAAAACCAGAAAATTCTTTACCCAAAAAAGTTTCTCACTTTTAGTGCATATTCTTAGGCTTTTTCTCATACATTCTCTGACTGTCTGTCCGGCACAGGGGTTGTATGCATGCAATGGAATGCCGGTGCGATTGGAGAGTGAGAGGGGTCTGAGGGACTGGTGGTTGTGGACAACAATACAATAGTGGTGTGGATTGTGGCGAACAAAGGCTATGAGCGTTGCCTTTGAAAAGTGTGACGAAAGCGATAACACTCTCGCACTGTATATATGACTATCGCCTCTAAAAAGAGCATACAATTGAAGTGGAGGTGCAAAACACTCCGGNTGTGGCGAACAAAGGCTATGAGCGTTGCCTTTGAAAAGTGTGACGAAAGCGATAACACTCTCGCACTGTATATATGACTATCGCCTCTAAAAAGAGCATACAATTGAAGTGGAGGTGCAAAACACTCCGGGATAGGGATATACACTCTGGAAATATGATAGCCATTCTGTGAATGCAATTTGATATCAGGATTAGCTGTCCATAAAGTGTAAAACCAATCAACACCTTCACTATACTTGTATTTACAGTGTTTTTTGGTTCAAAAGTATTGTCTGAAAATTGAATTTCTAATAATATGTAAACCTCTGGAAACGTGAGACTCACTCGACATATGCTTTTAATAGAGCTAATCGTATACTGTATTCACATTAATAAGTTTGTAATTCTAGAAGTTGGTCATCGAAATAGATTTTAATTATAGTGTCTGTTGCCATATATCGCGGTATTTGGCACTAATTAATAGCAATGTCTACAATATATTATGTATATTAAGATTAATAACCAAAATAAGTTTTAAACCACTGAATTATGACTCTCTTGGACTCTGGATTCTCTCTCTCTCTCTCTCTCTCTCTCTCTCTCTCTCTTATACAGTATAATAGGGTTCTGTATATATGTGTGGTTCTGAAGCCTAGGATTAGAAAACAAGTATTTCTCGGGTATTATTAACTATCAGTTGGCG